CATCAATTCTTCTGAATCTTCATAATAAAATCACACCTGTTGTAAATTAATACTGATTCCTTTGCTATCTATGTGTATAAATAGACATAGACTTAAAGCACTCATTTAGGGCAAACAAAACATTTAGGGCAAACAAAACATTGGAGCCCTTCATGGTATTGGACCTGGGTACTTGAGAGACCGCCTGCTGCCAATTACCTCCAATAGACCGATTAGATCCCACAGATTAGGCCTCCTCCAAATTCCATCCGCCGGCCAATGCCGACTGGCGACTACCCGGAGGAGAGCCTTCTCTGTGGCTGCTCCGACCCTCTGGAACGAGCTCCCCGTGGAGATTCGAACCCTCACCACCCTCCAGGCCTTCCGCAAAGCCCTTAAAACCTGGCTGTTCCGACAGGCCTGGGGCTAAGGAATGTTGCCCCCGTCTCGAATTGGTATGACTGTTGTGTTTTAATCATGCATTGTTTTTTATGTCGTTTTAAATTCTTGTTTGTATCCCCCTTCCCCCTGGTTGAGTTGTGAGCTGCCCTGAGTCCCCTTCGGGGGAAAAGGGCAGCATATAAATAAAATCAACATCAACATCAACATCTCATCCTGGGCACCGCCTTTTTTTGAACTATTACCATCTGGCAGACGGTAATAAAAAAACAAGGACAAATAGGCTGAAAAACAGTTTCTATCCCAGGGCAGTAACTATATTGAATTCTGTCTACTGTATAGCGCAATATCAATGCAATATCAGAGGTTTTCAATTCAGTTGTATAGAATCCAAAGGGATGTGTGTTTGTGTTTTATTTTACAGTTATAATGTACGCTGAAGATGGCATTTAATTTCATTGCGTGAGGTGCAATGACAATAAACTAAACTAAATTAAATTAAACTAAACTAAACTGAGGATAAGAGCATTACTATGAAGCCTTGAATTAAACAATAACAAATAAAAAAGTAGGTTTCATTTGGAAACGCTTGAAAGCCCAGAAAAACAAACAGCTGCGATTCTTCTGGATGAATGAAAATGTGTACCTCTCTACATAGTGATAGTAATTAATTACATTTACCGGTATATTTTTCCTGCGGAAAAATCAGGTGGAACAACGGCTGATGATCTCTTTCTATCGGTTCACCATAGAAAGTGTCCTCACATATTGCATTATAGCTGGTTTAACAGCTGCGGATAGGAAGGCACTACAGAGAGTGATCAATTTGGCACAAGAAACCATCGGTTGCCCTCTTAATACCTCTGGATGACATCGCCAGGTCTCGCTACTTTAGCAGAGTAAGGAAGATACTCAGAGATGATTCACACCCTGGTCAGTGTCTCTCTGCACTTCCACCATCGGTCAGAAGACATCAAAATATATCCAGCCAAACAAATAGTTTAAAGATAGTTTCTATCCTTGTGCCGTCAGACTTTTAAATACAACCACAATCACTCCATGCACACGCTAGTTTTTTTTCCTTTCTTTTTTCACTTCCGCTATAATTTTGCACCAATGAAGCTAAAACCAATTCCGTTGTATTTATTTTGTACAATGACAATAAAGATTATTTTATACTATACTATATCAATATAATACTGTATTCGGGTTTCCTCTAGGAATGGCCAGTTTTTCCTTACACTCAGCTATCAAGAATTCACATCTGAGCCAGTAATGTTCACTGTTCGAGCTTTTTCGACACAGGTAAGGTAGAGAATGTATGGATTTATATTTTTGGGAAGGGAGGGGAAAATGTACAGTATATTGGCAATATTTATCGGCTTGTGTGCAAGAATCCAGTAACGGTGAGATGGAAATTTCTTACTTGTTTGATTGACGTCCCTTATTGGCATATATTTAAAGCAAAAAAAATGCAATATATAGAGCCAGCTTTATGATCAAAACCAGGCCAATTAGCTGCAATCTAATTTAGCAAACACTATGAAACTCTGGGCACAGGTGTAATTTGTGCTTGGCAATGTCATGTGCCAATCATTAGGTCACAGTATTTTGCACCAATGGCACCTTCTGGATCCTTTTCAGGGCCAGCCCCTCTAGAGCAGGCTGCACCGCATCTCTGATTAGGTTATGAGCACCTGAGTTGCCGTTCTTTTTTTTTTTGGAAGCTACAAATGGCAGGATTTGGGCATCTTACCAAGCCATAAACCACAGCTTTCCAAGGGCAGTGTAAAGTTCACTACACATAGTAAACCAAAACAAGTTGCTGTTATTGTTTAGTAAGGACAGAATAACAGAGTTGGAAAGGACCTTGGAGGTCTTCTAGTCCAACCCCCTGCTCAAGCAGGAGGCCCTATACCCATGATGGCGAACCTATGGCACGCGGGCCACAGCTAGGTTTCATGCCAGCCATCAGCTCTGGCACGTACCAGCTGGTTTTGCACATTCACGCAGGGCCAGAGCAGGCCATTTTCACCTCCGGAGGCTGGGGAGGTCAAAAAACGGCCCCAACAGGGAACAAACGAACTTCAGGTTGGCCTGTTGGGGGCGTTTTTTGCCCTCCCCAGCCTCCGGAGATTTTCCTGAAGCCTGGGGAGGGCCAAAACAGCCTCCCTTGCCCCCCTACAGGCCCTCTGGAAGTCAGAAACAGATAATTTCTGAACTTCCAGTTGCCCCCTTGAGGCTGTTTTTCACCCTCTCCAGCCGCCAGAGACTTTCCTGAGGCCTGGCGAGGGGTTGCATGCTCATGCGCAGGGCAAGGTGGTCATTAAATTAAAGTCAACGCTGCATTCATTAAGCAAACTCTTTGTCCGCTGGAGCATTTATTTATTTTTATTGGAAACTGGTTTGCCACCAAAATATATATATAAATCATAGTCACGTGATTTTGGGGTGCTGCAAATCACAATATGTGCCACCTGATGCCAAGTGCCCCAAATGCAATCATCTACCATTGGGAAAGAGGGTGCTGGCAGAATTTTGAATCCCGGTTGTTAGATAAGCTCCCCGTTGGGAGAGCGAGTACGTTCAGAGANAAGTAACGGGAGCTCACTCTGTTATGCGACACTAGGGATTCAAACCCCTGGACTGCTGACCTTTCTGATCGACAAGCTCAGCGTTTTAGCCACTGAGCCACTACATCCCATCAAATTTGGTACTCAACGCATTTTGATGTGAACATTTTGTCCCTTACTCGTCATTGGTTTGATACTCAATACACAAGCTAGAACCTGTCAGTGTGTCGGCTGCATTATGACTCATTACATTATTCCTTATGGGAAAAAATTGTTTGGTACTCATTGTTTTTGGTACTCATTGTGCCTCCTGGAATCAATTAACAACGAATACCAAAGTACAACGGAGCTCACTCCGTTACGTGGCACTAGGGATTTGAACCACCAAACTTTCTGATCGACAAACTCTGCGTCTTAGCCACTGAGCCACTGCATCCCTTATACATATAAATATGCATGCCCATATTCTTGTACTATCTGCTTTTATTAGAATTACACATGAAGAATCATCTGGGAAAAATGCTGCTTTCTGTATATGTGAGTAGTGATGGAAATAGGTGGTTTTGTAACATGACTATAGTGATAAACACAAATTCAGGCATACGTTGACCACATTTTCAAAACTCTCTAGGAAATAACTTTAGGTCTTCACCATGAGAAGCAGTTGGCTACTTGGGAAAGCTTGTTGGAAGATTCTTGTAGGATTGTTCAACTATCCAATATCTTTCACTGAAGAATGGTATTCTCAACAACTAGGATGCCTGCTTCTACCAACCTTTGAGACTGGTGCACATGAAGCCATAAAGGAGGAAGGGGACACGTTCACCCAGACAGGCTGAATTAACTCTGGCAAGCAAAGTGATGACGGAGGTGGCAGCTGGATCACACTCTCATTTATACAACAAACACAAATTCTCACCAGCCTATGGTTGACAACCAAATATTTTAGGCTGGTTTCTCTGATAGTTGGACCAATATATTAAATATAAACGTGGCAACTTTTAGCTTATCACGAATATTAAAATGCTACATCCTTAGGATAAAAAGATCAGAGGTTTGACTTTACCTGCATTCGGAACTCGTGTTGTTTTTCAGCTGTTGGCTGAGATGTTTAGCTACAGCAGTGAAACTGTTACTCATACGATAAATATCTCTGCTTTGGATACCCAAGATGTTGGAGAAGAGGTCAGTGATGTATTTGATCTCCAACAAAATGATATGGTGGAAAGAATGTTCCATGTTTCCCAGCTGATTAAGCAAATAGACCAGGCAGATCCGAGCTTGTTCCTATTTAGAAAAAAAAAAGGAGTTTAAAATAGGTGATACTGTTAAAAATTTGAGTTAGCTTTGTTTGAGGAAAGGAACGGGGGTGGAGAGAATCCAGAGCGAATTGTTTTCAGTTCACTTTTAAAAAGGTACATCATTATGGACTTGTGTAAAATAAACATGCTGTACAGAGAGGGAAACTGTTATCCAAATAACAAAAACATAATAAATTTAGAACTTGTTTACGATTTTAAAAATATAGATGGTTTTTACGAGCTTCCCCTAATCTTTTCTTTATTGTACAGGAGCTAAATAGAATGAGAAAAAGATGGAAGAAGATGAACTATGGAAGATGGATGTCAGGTTTCAGGGATAAATACAAATAATTGGAGAAAAGCTGATAACCTGCTCTGTGCCAGGAAGGGTGATGTACTGTAGGTAACAACTAGCACCTTGAATGTTATTTCTAATAGGAATCAGTACAGCTCAAGTAGTAGTGGTGTTGCATGGATGTAGCAAGGTCCACCCACAAGTACAGGTGCCACTGCATTCTTTGGGTATACAAAGCAGAGATATTTATCATATGAGTAACAGTATCACTGCTGTAGATAAACATCTCATCCAACAGCTGAAAAACAACAGAAGTTTGGAATGCAGGTAAATTGCATTCTAGACTAAATTCAGCTTTTGAGTAGTTTTCAAGGGTAGTCCCAAATAGGTCACTTTGATGTTTCATCATCTGCCAATAGTTAGGTTTTAAGAACTACAGCTTCTTCTTTGTCTGTACTTACAGAAGTACAGACAAAATATGTAACAGTTACACAGTTTGCACATTTTCATGTCACAATAGTTGGTAGTTTGACAGTTTGACTTTATAAACTAGGCTAGATATTATGAGTGTAGAAGCAAAAACTATATGCTACTTCAAACATTCAGTAGTCAAGGAACATGTTACAATGAAGATCAAGTCCTATAAGAGTCTGGATGTCAAATACAGTTTACAAATACAGATTTCTGCAAATATGAAACAGTGTCCCACATGCACACCCACAGATGGAAGCCTGTCAATCTAGAAGGAAGGAGAACTTTTTGAACAGTGAGAACAATTAATGAAATAGCTTGGGTCCTGAAATTGTGGGTCATCCATCATTGGAGGTTTTAAAAAATAGAACCACCAAGACAGAGCAAGATATAAAGTTGTGATGGTCAACCTATGGCACGTGTGCGAGAGATTGCACCCAGAGCCCTCTCTGCTGGCACGCATGCTGTCGCCCCAGGTCAGATCTCCCTGCTGTTTCTTTCATGAGTTTCTGTTTCCCAGCAAATGATGAAACAGAAAAAGATCTTACCTCTTGCCGCACCACCGATGTTGGGATGCCCCACCTCCCACCGGCCGGCTGATCTTTGGGTCTCTGCTGCGCATGCATGCATGTCCGTGCATGTCCGTGCATGTGTGCGCATGTTCATGCATGCACACACACACACCTTTCAGTTTGGGCATCTGAATATGCAGTTTGGGCACTTGGTGTCTAAAAGGTGTGCCATCACTGATATAAGGTCTCATGCCTTAAGCAGAGGTTGGATAAGAATACTGCCAAGGTCTCTTCCTTTCCTATGAGCCAACGTTCTATCCCAGGGGTCAGCAAACTGTGGTTCTGGAGCCACATGTGGCTCTTTCCTCCCTCTGCTGTGACTCCATCACTGGTCGGTGCCACAATTTTGAGAGGAGCTTCCGGTGGTGGTGGTGGTGGGGAGAAGCACAGCGCACCAGGAGAAGACTCTATGGCAAGGGAACAGTTTTCTAGTTGTCTCCACAATTGATAGGGATTTCGGTTATGACAGGTAGAGGAAAAAGTATGCCACACTAGGAGGAGACTCTATGGTGGGGGAACTGAACTTCCGGTCAACTCGAGAATTGAACAGGGGGCTTCCAGTTAGGACCTTTGTGGCTCCCGGTGTTTTCTTTTCTGTGGGAAATGGGTCCAAATGGCTCTTTGTGTGCTTAAATTTATCGAATCCTGTTCTATCCCATCCAGTAACAAAAAATACTAATTAAGTGGGGAACATATCTTCAGCATGGAAAACTATTCCTATCATTTTTTTAAAAAAGAGAATGATACAGAATCATTAGAATAGACACCAATTAAAAATCTTTGCATTTAAATAATAGTTAAATATGAATCAAAAGTAAAGATTTTATGTTCTCTCTCTCAACTGCAAGCAGCAGATGATACCATCAGAGAGATCAGTAAGAAAATAAAAGTGTAATGAGCATTAAAAAAAAAGCTACTTCCCAACAGTATTTGTAATTGACCCAAGTGGGAGGAAAAGGTTCCATCAGTGATCTTCTACTTTGATCCAGCCAGCGGGAATCCATAAACATTGAAATTCTGCTGATCATTTCCAGGTGTTAAAGAATAATAATTGCACTTTTATAAGATATGCGATTAATAAGAAAACTCAAATCTCCACATTCCTCTCATCAACTTGAGAGTCTTCCTCTTTAGCATAACTACGATTGAAAAATTCCTGGTAAAAGTGATGTTTGGATTTTTATTTAGCATTGTTATTGTAGGCTGATTTTTTGGGGCTGGAAGAATATGTTTATATTCTTTATAGGAAGCAGATTTTCCATTTTCACGGTATATACATTTGTTTATTGGCAAATGAGGTTAACATAAAAACTAATTAAAATGTCTCATTTTGTTGTACTGTATAAAAATATTAGGAAACAACAGAAGGAAAAGAAGAAGGGTAATTCTAAATTCAGTCTTGGGAAATTTACTGTATTGTCATTTCATTTGAGGGGAAAAACAATTTATTGCAAATATGAATGAAATAATCAGGGCTGCTGATTTTTACTTTAGAGAAGTTATTAAACAATCGTGACATTGTGTTAAAATTCCAGCACAATGATCCTTCCAACATTAAATAAAACTGCTTTTACCAACATAATAGAAATGAAGCCAAAACTGCACAAAGGATCCCTTCTTTATCGTCTCTCTTTATTTGTCTTGTTAAAGGTGAGCCTAGCGTTGGAATGACTGAAGAGGCAACAAATAATGTCAGTTGCCAAGGCCACATACATCTGGTGAGAATTTCAAAGGCTTCTGATGTGCATCTTTCCAACATACAATAGCTGCTTAGAACAGCAAAATGTCTTGGGCAAGTTCTAGGTCAGCTTACAAAAAAGATTTAAATTATAGTTCAGCAGATATATTTAACTCCCTGAAGTAAATTTAAATTAATTTAGTGTTGTGTTGGTCTGTTGAAGTTAATGGGAATGGAACTGTAGTTGCAGAAATACATCTGCAGGGCACCATATTTGGGACTGTGATTTTTTGTGTGTGCAGTGATTTAAATGAGATGAAGTATGGCTGATTAAATTTGGATCCAATTTTACTATCAATACAATGTCAATAATACTAGCATATTAGTATACTCAGAAGTTGATTATTTCAAACTAGCAATGTATTATTGTTCTGTGACATAGAATACATATTTTGTAATATCCACTATGGTTGTTGTCTGGGTATAATGTGCTACACAATGCTCCTTGATTTATTTTTCTCGAGTATTTACTTTCAAAATAAAAGAGAAAATCAATATAAAGAACAGCATTTACAAATTAGCAAGATGAGGAATTGGGGTTCTCACTGCCAGTGTCCATTACCAAGAACAAAGTTTCATAACTTTCTAAAACATATGACTGAAAATATCTGTGGTTGATTTTGAGATACCTCCTCAGCCTATTTTTAGCTTGCTGCTAAAAAAAAAGTGAACATTTTTTATATTAATACTCGCTGTGAAAAGTTATAATTATGCTACAAGTAGAGAAAAACATTTTTAAAGGAATATTATTTCTTCTGCCTGAAAAAAATAAAAGATAACAGTTCATATATTCAAGAAGTTGTGGACAGGTGATGATGCAACAGTTCATTTAATTACAAAGCAAAGCTATTTTAAGAGCTTCATCATCTTTAAAAAATAAAATCATTTTTGAGAGGAACTTAAATTCTGAATATTATATCCGAATGTTGACCTATTTAATCCAAATTACTTTTCTGGATCAGCCAAGCTGAGGCATATACTGCTATTTTTTAATTTTTAAGGAAAAAGAAAGGAAAGAAAAAAGAAATATATAGAGAGAGAAAGGGAAAGAAGGAAGGAAGGAAGGAAGGAAGGAAGGAAGGAAGGAAAGAGGGAGGGAGAGGGGTGGAGGGAAGGAGGATCAGATGTATGTTCCATTGTGTATCTTGTGAGTCTTAGCTAACATTTGGCATTTTACCATCTTGGGAAAAGTTTCTGAAAAAGTCAGATATCAAATTAGAAATGCAGAATTTGTGCACATGTAAACATTTCAAGGGTAACACTACTTCAGAAATTTTTGTAAAAATTTTTAATGACGTCTTCGGGAGGATAGAATGATCACTGCTCATAATTTCTTTAAAATGTAGAGAATCATCTCCCCCCACCTTTGCATTCCAGAGATTAATCCCGAGATTACATTCGTTTTATCATGCAAGATGGTATGTGAAAAAAATCTTAGTGTTAGCCACTAGCATGACTTCTTTGGATAGGATCATGACACCAGATAAGCCATATCACTGGACTGATGAGAAAAAAAAGAAAGGCCACAAAGACATATACATATATATGGGGAGACAGTACAGGTACTCCTCCATTTACGAGCACAGTTGAGCCCAAAATTTATGTGAGAAATTTGTTAAGTGATGTTTGCCCTATTTTATGACTTTTCTTATCACATTTGTTAAGTGAATCATTGCAGTTGTTAAGTTAGTAATGCAATTGTTAAGTGAATCTGGCTTCCCCATTGATTTTTGTCAGAAGGTTGCAAAAGATCACATGACCACGGGATATGGCAACCATCATAAATATGAACCGGTTGCCAAGCATCCAAATGTAAATCACATGACCATGGGAATGCTGCAACAGTCATAAATGGTGATAAGTCACTTTTTACTTACGCACATATAAAAGAGCTTTTGCGTATGTGTAAC